TGGCCAACAAACATAAAAATGCTCATCACTAATCGGCAGGGAAATGCAAATTAAAGCCACAATGAGATACTACCTTACCCCTGTGAGAATAGCGACATTTAAAAAGTAAAAAAATAATAGATATTGGTGAAGATGCAGTGAAAAGGGAATGCTTATACATGCTTGGTGGAAATGTAAATTAGTACAACCCCTATGGAAAAGAGTGTGGAGATTCCTCAAAGAACTAAAAGTAGTCCCACAATTTCATTCAGCAATCCTACCAACTGGGTATCTACCCAAAGAAAAATAAGTCATTATATCAAAAAGACACCTGAGCCAGAATGTTTATCACAGCACAATTCACAGTTGCAAAGATATCAACCTAAGTGGCCATCAACTAATGAGTGCATAAAGAAAATGTGGTATATATTAAGTATGAAATGTCCAATTTCTTTAAGTACTAAGTTTGACAGTTGATATCTCTGACATTTCACTTTCACACTGCTCGTTTTATTTCTATTGTGCAGGTACATCCTCAGTCTTGAAAACACATGTTTTGGCTTGTGATTATCTTTCAATTTTTTTAAAGCAATTTTTGTGAAACCATGGATAAGTAAAAAATTTGTGTTATTATTTAATATGAATACTGTCGTGGAACCAATGCAACATACAGACAGTTTGAAGTATCAATGAAGTGTTTGGGAAGGATGTGGCTAATGAACACACAGTATGTCATGGTTGGAGAAGTTCCATTCTAGTGATTTTAATTTTGAAAATGAGCCATGTGAGCGAGCTGAGACAAACGTGGATAATCATGAGCTGAAAGCTGCAGTGGAAGCAAATCTATCTCAATCTAGGCATGAATTAGCAGCAAGGTTTGACGTTACTATTCCATATTGAACCATTTGAAACAAATCAGCAGGGTAAAGAAGCTGGATAGATGGGTAGTCAGCAAGGTAAAGAAGCTGGATAGATGGGTAGTCAGCAAGGTAAAGAAGCTGGATAGATGGGTATCATATGAATTAAATGAGCATCAGAAGAGAAATCATTTCAAAGTTTGCCTTTCATTGATTGTTGTCATGACATAAAGGCAAACCATTTCTATACTGTGTGCTACACGTGATAAAAAAGTGGATTCTTTTTGACAATTGCCAAGTATTAGGCACAATGGTTGGATAAAGATTAAGTGCCAAAACACAGTCCAAAACTGTATATTCATCCAAAAAAGCTAATGGTGTCTGTTTGGTGGTCCAGTCCTGGTATTATCCAGTATAACTTCATGAAACCTGGCCAATCAATTACAGTGAATGTCTACTGCAACCAATTGAATGAAATGATGAGGATGCTTGCAATAAAGCAGTTGAGAATGGTCAATAGAGACAGGCCAATCCTCCTGCAAGACAACGCTTGATGACATGTTGTCAAACAACACTGATGACAAATAACACTACTCAAATTACAGAAGATGGACTTGGAGACTCTCTGTCATCTACTGTATTCACCAGACCTTGCACCAACTGACTACCCTTTCTACCAGGCTTTGGACCACTTCTTGCAAGGAAAAATATTCAATTCTCAACAAGCTGTGGAAAACGCCTTTCACAGTGTCATCACCACTTGCAGTTATCAGCACCTCCAGGTAGCTTCTGCTTGAAGGTTGTTTACTTTAACACCTGCATCCAATCTTCAAGTCCCTGCATCTGGTCCCAGCCCTGTCTCCTAGTCTTCCTACTCTACCAGCTTTGCTTCTGGGTGCATTCAGTGGCAAAGACTCTGTATGAATTCCTTGGTTATAGATAGCCTTAGTGTGGTGGCTTTCTCATATGCCAGTTGTAATAGTGGTGTACAGGGTAGGTGAAAAGGCTTAGAAGCGGGGGAAAGGGGGGTGGTGTTGAGGTCACAGGAAGCTTATCTTGTTCTCAAGCACTGCACACTTGTTTGCAGATTTTGTACTGGGTGTTGCAGGTTGACCTCCAGACCAATAGGTGGCGCTTAAAGACAAGAACCAGCTGTGGTGGTAGCAGTGGGGTTTATGCTTCATCTTTGTTTACCAGGAGAAACTCCCTGCTTTACCAGGCAATGGGCTGGCTTGTGGAATACTCAGTGTTTTGGGTTCCTCGCTCAGCCTTGGGGGCGGGGGTGAAGCTGGGAGAACCTGGACTGGGCAAGCCCACACTTGGTCCTCCCAATGGCAGTTGTGAACACCAGCTCTGACAGGGTCCAGCGGGCAGTCACCAAACACCTGAAGATATGCCCAGGCAAGGAGCAGAGAAGTCACTCCTGCACCAAGTTCCTTACAGGGAAAGGGAGGGGCAGGCATTCCAAGCACCCTAGCTCTCTTTCACTCTTCAGAATCACTGGGGCTCATTCCTCTGTCTGGACCAAGGGAGTCATTTGTGACACTCAGCAAAGTCAAATGTAATTTGACTCAAAGCCATCCCTGTCTGTAAAACTCACTGCCTGAGCAAAACCACAGCTGTCTGGCAAAATCTCCTCCTATTCTAGTCCCATGAAGGGAGAGAGCCCAATTCTAGTGCTCAGGGATGGAGCCACACCCCACACTCAACTCTCAGGGCTCCTCCTGTGACCCAGCACTCATCTCTGGTCTGAGACTCTCTAAATGCCTGAAGCTGCCACTGCTACGTGGTTGCTGAATCCTGCCCAGCTGGGTATGAGCCAGGATTGAGAATAGTGTCCTCCAATTGGGTCCCGGGTCTAGGAAAATCCTGGGGTACTTCTTAGTGCCCTTCTTTCTCACAATCTCTTGGGCTCTCCCCAAGTTGGCTCTAGGGCTTGAGAGGGACAGGTGCTGTCCTGTGGCCTGGGCTGTATGTTTTCTCAGTGGAAAAGTGGATCAGAGGGACATTCTCTCCCTTTCTGTCTCATTGGGTGTTCACTCAGTTCTCAGCTGGGCTAAACCATGCAGACTGCATGCCCACCTTCTTTCCTCGAGATCTGCAATTTTCTTTGATTTTCTGTTGAATTACTGTGTTATTTCTTGAATAAAAGTTCACAGTGTGAATCTCTACACACCATTTTGCTTCTTCCAAATAAGTGGATGAGGTGGCTGGAATACCCTTTAATCTGCCATTTAGTCGTCATGATGGCATTACTTTAGTGCTTCATGGGGGGTCATAGATCAACAACTGGGCAGCCACTAAATATCAGGAAGTCTGTGACTGCCCATTGACCTGGGAAAAAGCTGGTGAGATCCAAACGTGGGGAGAGTCTATGACCCTGTGGCCACAGATTCTGAATTTTTTTATAGTGTGCTTTGAAGCACAAGTTTTAAATTTTGATGATATCCATTTTATCTATTTTTTTCTTGGTTGCTTGTGCCTCTATTGTCATATGTATGAACCCATTGCCTAATCCAAGCTTACAAAGTTTATACGTATGTTTTCTCCTGAGAGTTTTATAGTTTTAGCTCCTACATTTAGGCCTCTTATCTATTTTGAGTTAATTTTTGTATATAGTACGAGGTAAGAGTCCAATTTTGTTCTTTTGCATGTGGCTATCCAGGTGTTCTACCACTATTTGTTGAAAAGACTGTTCTTTTCCCACTGAATTTTCTTGAACCTCTGCTACATTTTTATCACCTAAGATTTTTGAGATCAGGGGCTTCTCTTATCTTTACATACCCTCTATATTTAACAGAATGCCTTGCCCATAAAAGGTGCCTGATGGATAGTTTACTAATTCCTTTTTCCCCAACCAGATAGTAAGCTCTAAGAGGAGAACACTTGTTCATTGTTGCTCACCATATTGTACTGCAGAGTAGGCTGGGAACAATAGGGGATGATCCTAACTTTGCTTTGATTTTTTCACCACACAACTGTACCATATTAATTTATCGCTTTGTCCACTTTAGCTCAGAACACACAACCAGGTTTTGAATCAAAGGAAACTCCTTTAAGGATTGAAGACTTAACCTAGGGAGATTTCAGATTTGAACACCACCCAACCCCAGTCAATCAATGTTTTAGATTTTTTACCAAGAACTTAAATCAAATTCCATAAATGAACTCATGTTAAATCAATTGAAGATGTCATTTTCACGTGTTGGATCTTTGACTATTCTATTGTCAAAGTGAAAGTGAAAGTAAATTTCCTGGTTTTTAACAGGTACCAGTACTTCCTGCTGGTAGACTTTGGGCTTAAAATATGAAGTCACATTTGAGTAACGATAAAAAGAAATATGTGTCTTGCTCACAATCTCTGCAGCTCCAAAAGTGATTTGCAAAAAGAAAAAGAGGAAATACCCTAAGTATTCAATTACAGAAGAATGGTGAATTTATTTTGATTCATGAAATCTTAAATTGTAATTAAAAGTGATGCTTATGACAATTGTATGTCAACAAAGAAAAAAATCTATTATGATATATAAAAGGCAGATTATATCATGCAGTCATTGTGACTGGGTAAAGTTATGTATTGCTATGAAATAGGGTGATGAACTATCCTGTTTACCTCAGACAATCTTGGTTTTAACACTGAAAATCCTAAATCTTAGGAAATCCCTCAAACTTGGCCAAACTGGATTGCTGATCACCCTATTATGAATAAGGATTATAAGAAAACAAGAAAAAAAATGAAAAGATGATATGTCAACTTCTTTGTCAATGAATACAACTAATTTTTTAAACTTTCTTAATGGTTATAAAATTTTTACAAAAATAAAAATTGAGACAAAATAAATATTTACAAAAATAAAAACTAAGTTAAGACCAGAGAATATATCTTCCACTTCTGGGCAAAGCCTATTTGCTATTGGCCAATATTATTATTTGATTCCATCTTGCCAAAGGGATAATTGGGGAAAGGTCATAGAAATTTTCATTTTTTAAATAGTAGACATCAAAGGTGTCTTCTATTATGAGTTAGGTCAGTAAAAACTAATTATTTGAGGTTATGATGACTCAAAGTTCTTAAGGAAATCATGGGCTTGGGGAGGAATCCTCATACATATTTCAGAAGTGGAGAGGTTAAAATAGAAATAAGATCTGGTATCTTTTGATAGTTTTCTCATTTTTTTCCATGAACCTGCCATTGTCATGCCATTTTCCCTCCTCTCTAGTACCATGCAGAAGCACCAGCCATATATTTCAGTCATGGTCTGGAGTGCTGAAAGTGAGGAATGTGTTATCAGTGACCTATTCCATAAACATTTTCCTTGGGAATGTGTATGTGTAAGAATATACTGACTTGAGTATTTGATGACCTACATCTCACAGTTCAAACCCAGGTTGGGGTTATGTGAAATGAACTTAAGTCCACAGAAGCTTCCCATGGTCTGATGTTCTAAGAATAAAGAAGATGGGGAAACACCCACATTGGAATCATCTATTGCAGACAAGGACACAAATGTAGTTTTATTCAATTAGAACTAATTTTGAGGACTTTACATGGACAGAGAAAGGTTCTATCTCCTTTTTTTCTAATTACAGGGAATATCTTCCATTGGTTGTCCTGAAAAAAGTAGAAATACCATAGGGAGTGAAAATTACATTGTCTATTTGCCTGTAACAACCTGGCAGCCCTCAACATGTAGCCCAAATGTGGTTGCTAGATTATAGTGATGCCATCATAGGTCAACTTTTTTTTTTTTTTTAAGTAAGGTATATTAGTATATATGAATTAGAAAGTAGTGTGGCTATTACCTGAGATTTGGCATTTTAATTAGGTTTCCAAGCATGATCTTTCTGAGAATGCCTATAGTACTTAATGTCTACATTATACAGTCTACTAGCTAATTAGATAATAATGATGTAAATAGTTTTCCAAATGTGAACATCTAAGTCTTTTTATCTCCAAGGAGTAAAATATGATCCTGACTCTGTTGTTTTTCTCACTACCTGTTTAGTTCTCACTACCTGGTTTAGTTCTAGAGGGTAGGTTCTTGATAAAACTTGTTGACTTGTGTCTTGTAGTTTGTGCACACATTGGGTAGACAATTTGGTTGTTTCATCATCACAGAATTTTAGTAAAAGACTTAGGAATGAAACAAGGCTCTCACAATCACTAGCTGTGACTGTTGACAAGTTATCTTCTTGTTTACAAGTTACTTTACCTCTTGAATCACTTGTAAATAAGGATAGGGATTCTTTCTTGATCCTGGAAGATCAAATGAAATTATTTGGTTGAAATATTTTGTCATTTGGAAATCATTCTATAAACACAAGTGTTGATTATTATTCGAGATTTGGGTACTCATTGTGGCATTTTCTACCATTCTTTCTTCTCTTGCCTAAAGGCTAAAAGTAGGTAGACAATGCAACCAAAAGCCTAGAGCAGGAGTTAGGAAAAGTTAAGATCGAGACACATGTTCATGTATAAGCTATGCTATTTGTACAAAAACCAAAACCAAAACAGTGCGTATTCACCATTTAGAATTTCCTCTAATGGGGTGTGGTGGATCTAAAAATGTACCACATTGTCAGCTCCATAGAAAGACAGATGAGGAGCAATAAGGAAGCTATCCCATTATGATGATGATTTATCATCCTTAAAAGAGTAGTGCAAAAGGGACTCCACCAAAAATGTAGATGTGGAAGGAATTAAAGATAATTTAGGGATGGCATGGAGCAGCCATACATCAGGTACGCAGTCTCCCTTTTGCTGATGGAAGAAATGGAAAAAAAAAAAAATACTACTACTACTAAAAAGCTTACCCAAGAAAAAGGTTAGTGGGAAAGCACATTCTGCAGCAATTATACCTTTTTTTAAATGTAACCAAGTTGCCCCAAATAAGAAACATGACAACACAATCTGCTAGAATGGCTACTTTCTCTGAATGCGAGAGAAAAGGATTTGTGGCCACTTGTACTGAAACCAGATAGAAATGTGGAGGATAAGCGCACACTACTTCAAGAAAGGAAGGTAAACGTGTCTCTTAGAAGCTATGAACACTAATGCTTAAAAAGGAAACAGAAGAAATAGTTTAAGGAGTGCTGTCATTTTCTATTGGTGAGGATTCCTGATCTTGGGGAGGTTCTGGAAAGTTTATTTCTGTTTCTCCTTCTTCTTCTTCTTCTTCTTGGATTGGAATGATTTCAACGTCTTCTTCATTCTTTGGTTGGGAAGATATTTCAGTTAGCTCAACTACTTCTTCTTGTATTTCAATGGCCTGTTCTTTTTTTTCTTCAGCTGACAGGAGAACCACGTTCTAGAACACAAAATCAAACTTTTCTTGACTTTTACCATTGACACCTTTCTCAACAGTCTCTGCAAATACTTATCAAACACGCCCTAGTTTTTATGCTACTTATTTTATTTATTCTATGCCTCCAAATGCCAGGATTGATTTCCCAGGTGCTCAAATTGTTATCAAACACTTGCTTATTAAAACTCAAGTCTGAGTAAATCCTCAAGGGCAATTGACATTTGACTCTGTGCCTGGAATGATCACGTGATATTGGGAACACTACAATCATAGATTCTATTTCTGATTTACCTTCAGTGAATATAATCCTGGGAAAGTAATTTTCTTTCTAATCCCATTTTCCTCATCTGGAGGGATTAGGGATGGTTTCTAAATTCCATTCTGAATCTAACAATCTGGTTCTGAGCAGTTGGCATTAGGTCTATCATTGGGATATTCCTATTTCCCAATTGTGGAGCCTCTTTGAACTTATTGTTTTGGAAGAGGATAAGGTGAAAAGGGGCAGGTGAGGGTAACACTGAGAAATGAAGTCAAAGAACCAGTGACTAATCATCTTTCAACCTTTAACAATCCTGCTTTTATACATTGCATAAGGAACCCTGAAGTCAAGGTGGAAGCCTGAAGCCAAGCAGAAGGGTTAGTAAGAAGGTGCTAACTTCTATTATAGAACTGTGCCCTCTAACTACAGACTCATGTCACATTCTAAGACATTTTTTTTCACTATTGGTATTTTTCTTTCTTTCTAGAAGTACACCAAGACCATTTATATGAAGATCCTCATTTCACAAAATCTCATGAGGTTACATTCTCTATAAATGATCCTTTGTAGATGTGAGTTTTCTAGAGAAAGGCTATGTACAGAGTGGCTACCACTTACAGTTTTGGGCCTGGAGCACATGTGTTTCCATTCATTCTCGACGATGCCAGCCACCACAAGTTCCTGGAGGAAGGCAAAGATCAGCATCACTGACAAAGTGCCCTGAAAAATAACAGAAGAAGGAAGGTGAAAATGTAATCATGGCACAAAGAACATGGTTGGTGTTCAGGAAATTGCTGTTGGCTGAATTAAATGATTAAAAGATCAATTCTTTAGGTAAGTAATGACTAGCTGTGAGAACTGCTAGTTTAGAAGATGATGTATTTATAACCCTAACCTTTAATACAACTTCTGGGACACAACAGATGGTTAATGCATGGTGCTGACAGAAAGTAAGGTAGGAATAATCAGCTGAAGAATTAATTCTATGTAGGAAATAATCACTACTGGGTCCCGAATTAAACTGTATCCAGATTTAGGTGATGTGGCATCACACCATGGAAACCTCTCTACATTTGGGAAATGCATTTTTTCCACTTCAAACTCTACACTAAAAACTCTGGGCAAAAGATGTTTAAAACATCTCAGGTATTTCGTCCCTGTTAATCTTAATAACAATGACAGATAATAATGCTGTTAATGCTATTAATAATCACATTAAAGTAAGCACTGATATTATACTTCCTATGTACCAGACACTGTTCTAAGTACTTTGCAAACATTAACTCATTTATTCCTCAAAACAATCCTACGATTGCTAATCCCCACATTAGAGTTGGAGAAATCGAGGCAGAATATGGCTAAAGTTCTTGCCCAAAGCTACATAGCCAATAGGTAGCAAACTCAGAAAGTCTGGATCCAGAGTTGATGTTCTTAATAAAAATGCCATCCTTCTTCCCTGGAAAGAAATCCAGCTTCACACTTACCAAAAACACAGACTGTATGGTGTAACAGTATTGCGTAGATGGAGAACTTTTCTCAGAGGACCCAGCTGGTTCACAGTTGTATATGTTAATATATGGCCCGGAAGCTTTAATAAGATTCTGACTCTCCATTTTTAAAAAATGGGAGATTTTAATATTAAGTATGTCCATGATTGAAAGAATCATTCCAGAAATGGCAGCAAAGAGGCTCAATGAGTTCATTATCATTTTCCCTTTGGCCTAAAATGGAGATAAAGATTTACTAATTAGATTTGATTTCCATGGACGATATAAGTTAGGAATTCCAGATGCCATTCCCCTGACTCACAAAGGTACTACACCTAAATCATACTAAAGTTCTTCTCTCAGTTGTTTTTAGCCTATGATCACTATAAAATAAAATCACTTCTCTATCCTGTTCCTTTCTTAGTCTTCCCCAGCTCAGTTTATGCCATTGCCATCAATTAATTTTATCAAACCATAATTCTAGGAGTGATTCTTAATTCTTATATCTTGTATCCTTGTACTTTCTTCACCGCTACTGCCACCATCCTAGTAGGCATTCAATAAATATTTGTTGCGTAAGTGAAGAAAAATCGTATCCAGATTATCTGTCTTCATAAGAATATAGAGTGGAGAGAGAAAAGGAGATTCTTACATGAGACTTAAGTGGGGTGGTGCTGTGGGTATAGGTTAGGAAGATGCAGATAGAACCCTCTAGGTCTGCACCGTCAAATGGAAATAAAAGGCAACAGCAATGATAACAACATTTTCTCCCTATTGACACAGGTTGAAATCAGCCAAAGTCAACCATCTTTCAAAATACATTTAGGACTCATGTCTCTGGATGGCATAGGTTAGAAAATGTCAGCGTGAATATTCTACTTTACAGGAATGATAAAAAATTGAAGCAGGAAAACATATGTGGCAAGTGCCACAATGATATGGGATTGTTGATGATTATTTTTTTGACACACGTATTTCATCTCTGGCTATTTGACCTTCAGATGGCAAGTCAGTAGGTCTGGCTATATTTGGAGAATAGAATAAGTTGATTTTCCTAAACAGTTTTTCCCCCAGAACTGAGTCTGTTAGACCACTTTTAGGAGGAATCACCTCAATCCACTCAGTCTCTCACTGACTTCGAAAGTGACTCACTATAGTAAGTAAAAGAAGTGTTGGGGAGGATTTTCATGGGAGGGAACTTGCTGGAACCTCTTTTTCACCTACATAGAATTGCCAGCTCTGCAGCACAGCCTCTTACTGGGTATGGATGAGTTCCTGGGAGTTAGGTAAGCAAGACCACCCTCGCTCCTTATAGCCTCTGAAACACTGCCACACACATCACTCCTTTCCATCCTCATGCTAGTTTCATGTGGTAGCAAGGACTGTTACCTCCATTTTACAGTTGAAAACTCAAAGGTATGTAGAGGTAAACTGACATGTTCAAGGTTACAGCTAAAAATTAGCTTAGCTAGAATTTGAATCAATCACAACCCTGATCAGATAATTCTCCTAAAGGTGGTCTGGGAGAAATGAGATGGCTTTCAAAAAGGTCTGTTATTTTCACACAGCATTTAACATTCACAAGACTGTAAGTACAGTCTTCACAGATCTGCCTTTAGTTGTTTCCATAGACATACATCAGTAGATGTCACTTCCAGGTTTTTCATGAATAAAATCACAACAGCACTGTGGAGGACTGTTTGCCTTTTTAGGGTTGAGAGTCTGTGTGATTCAAGGCTCTTTTAAGGGTCCCTAGGAGTTTTCAACTGAGAAAATAGGTGTTTCTCTGATGTGTGAGAAAGAAGGGCATATGGTTACTTGCCAAACTCTTCCTGGAGTTTTTCTCTGCTGCTGCCAGGAGTGATCCAGAAATAATGTACTGTAAAAAAGAGAAGTAATGAGTGGAGAGGGTGTGGGTGAGGTAGGAGAGAGGGGGGTCATTTCTTAACATTGAGAGCTGGTCACAAAGAAGCCATCTATAGTTTTAGCCACTTTCACTAAACTATCCACCCAGTTTTTGTCAGGTTCATTAATTTTTCAGCAGTCATGTTTCTCCTTTTTCAGGCTCAAATATATTCAATCCATGCCCTTTACTCAACCATCTGGGCTGCTAGGGCTAGGAATGTGATAAGACCAAAGAAACAGAACTCCTATTTCCTTGCCAATTAATATTCACAGTATGAATTTAAAGGTTTTATTTTTAGTTTTTCTTTCTTTTTTAATTTGTGGAAATTCTCAATGGGATTCACAACGATTCAGATGACTTTGATGCCAACAAAGAGTGAGTTGATGTGGAATACTTGACCTTAATGTCATAGACACATGTTGGCTGCTACAGGAAGTGACAATTATTTCTCCTCTTCCTTTTCTAATGTTTAAGCATCTGATGTTAAGCATTAGAAACTCTTGTTCTAACCCTTCTCTCCTTGTTCTGAAAATTTCAATCCTGGACTCATCTTTACAGTGGCAACTATGAAAATATCACGGGGGAAATAAACATCACTGCCCCATGCTATATCCAGACAGGGTTACAAGTTTAGAAAACTTGTACATGAAACAGCCATAGTAACTAAACAGGACTGTATGGTAGAAGGAGCAGATGGGAGAAAGTGGGTTGTTCCCGCCCCCTCTTGCATTCCAAAACATCATGCCATACAGTCCCAATGTCCAGTGACTCCCTCCCTACTAAAATTGACTATGGAGAGGTCCTGCTTTAAACAATCCCTGTGTGGATCCATGAATTACATCTTTCTCTGAATTCACATGAGGCAAGACCACTGACTCTTAACCATGCTCAGTTTAGCCAACCTCTCTTCCTACTGAATTATTTTAACTCAATGACCTATTTCGTACCCATATATTTCTTCCTCTATAATCTGGCATATCCTTGTGGAGCTTTTTAACATTTTTGTCTTTCCTGTTCCCCAAATGGTTGTTACTTTTGTTACTCACCATGATGCCTCCCCAGAGAGGGTACCACACAGTCACACAGATGGGTGCATATTCCCCAGTGGGGATCATCAGGAGACCCCCCAGGGCAATGTGGAAGAGCCCATTCATGATCTGGACAGCCTAGGGAGAGAGAGGGGGCACTGGAGGATGAATTGCATTCATCGTTGTTGGAAGGCAGAAGCAAGATTGGAAGCCCTGAACTCTGACTTGGAGCTGTGCAAAATGCCTTTAGACATTTAGGAAGCAGTGGAGGTGTCAGGAGTTTTGTCTTTTTCTTGTGCAGATCAATTTTCCCCACCACATGGGACATTTCCAAAGAGCAGGTATGCCTGGGATTCAGGCAATGGACTGGGAGACTGCTAAACATCCATGCCCCAAAGCCAAAAGGTGACATAAGATCACCCTGAGCTGATCCAGGTGATAACTTCTCAGTCTGTCACACCGTTGATTGGGCCTACTGTGTCAGACGTGAAGAACACATCAGGTTGGATGACATCCCTTCAAGTTGAATTGAATTCTGTATGTGGTCTATAGCATCGGCTTCCGTAAGCCAAAGAATCCCTGGGATATGGGAGGGAGGGCACCTGACTTACCCCAAACGCCTTAGATTCCCTCATGAAGAAGCTCTGTGTGGGGCCTATTGGTGCAGACATCCTTCTGAGAGTCACTTTTTGAACAGGTTGCACAGCAATAGGGCCTTTCATAGGCTCTGCTGGGAACGTCCCATTCACTGAATTTCTGGGTGTCGTCATTTTGGTCTCAAAACTCCTAAAAATAAAACAATAAAGGAATGAGAGTAAGAACAAGATTTTTAGCAATCTTACCTTGTGTCTCGCATCTAAATGCTTCTTTCAGTGTTCCCTCCATGGGCATCACTGAGGACAGACATGGCTTCTTCCTGGTGGCCTCGGGTCTGAGACAAGTCTTACTGCCAAGTTATGAGAAAGAATCTAGGGGTGTTTGACTTAGGTAAGAACATATGGGCTCAGGAGTCTCTGCTGGTGTTCTTGGCAGCCAGGTGTGGTGCATACGTTACCTTTGTAGAGAACACCACGCAAATATATGGCTGTATGTCCTGTTTGTCTCCATCTCTGGATGCTTCTCTTATGCTTTAATATTGGGAAATGTATTTTCTATAGATTTGTCCTTGTCCTTTTGCTTATCTGCCTTTGCCCATTGTGATGGGCCAGACGCATCGTTGTAGATGCCATTGTTTTCCTGTCCTTAGAAGCACATGGAGTGGGACAACGAACACTGGAGACTCAGAAGAGGAGCATGGGGGGGTGTAAGAGAAAAAAATTACCTGTTGGGTACAATGTACACTATTTGGGTGATGGGTGCACTAAAAGCTCCATGTAACCAAAAACCCTTTGTACCAATTTCAATCTATTGAAATAATTTTTTTTTTTAAAAAAACACAAACGAACAAAAACAAGAAGAAGGGCTGATTCTAGGCCTCCCTCTGCCTCTAAATCTGCCACCTTGAGCAAGTCATGTCAAGAAGGCTCTCCAATGCTGCACGTGAAGCTGTGGCCTCCTGAGTCAGACTGCCTGAGTTTCAGTGGCGATTCTTCTATTTGCTCTGAGACTTTGGGCAAGTTCTGTAAATTCCCTGGGCCTCAAGTTCTTCAACTGTAAAATGAGAATAATAATGATTCCTCCCTCATGGGCTGTTATAAGACTTAACTGGGCTTATAGTCTGTGCACGGCTGGTGTCTTTTCATTCAGGTGTAGCTCAAATGTCAGCTCCTTAGAGAAGCCTTCCCTGAACCCTCAATCTACAACACTCAAGTCCCATCAAAGTAGAGATTTTGTTTTCTCTTGTTCAGTATCTAAAATAATGCTTGAATTTAAGTAGATTCTTAATAAATGGTATTGAAGCAATACACGTATGCAAAGCACCCATGCCTGCATAAATATTAGCTGTTTCATTGCTATTCTTGTTCTTCTTACCTTTTTGTGCATTAGTTTCTATTTTATCCATCTGTAAAGTCAGAATAATACCCCTCTCTCAGAGATATTGTAAGAAATAACTTGACATGTGTAATTGTGCCTAGTATATAGGAGGAGGTAGTAAATGCTATTTGTTAGTCGTCATGATTTATCCATTTCTGAAGTGAGAAGGCAATTAAGAAGGGCATTTCCAGCTCTACCATTTTAAGACTCTGTTCAATCTTCTACATCTTGGGCTTCCTTTTGGCATTTGTTTATGTCAACCACTTATGTCAGTTCTACTGGGTCTTTCCTGGGGCCTGGAAATCCCTCTTTGGGGACACGTCTTTGGTCTTGTCTTTATTGATTGCAAGTCATGTAAGGGGCCTTGGAAGTCAAGACCGACTGTCCACGTTGCTTACCTTACTAAAGTGAGTACCCAATCTAGTCATTAGGCCACAGGTTCAAGTATATCTTACTAAACTCAATCCAACCTGGGTAGCTGCAGGTGTGCTGCCAGACAGGTGGCTGGGAGTCACTCACATTTGCACCTACTTTAGAGTTAAAAAGGAATTTCGCATATGGCATTTCATCTGAACTTCACAGATTAGGCCAGGGATGAATTGCTGCCTCTCTTGTATAGAAGAGGAAACAAGGGCACAGAAAAGTTAGGTAAATGGAACAATTTACATGGTTATTAAAGATTTAAAAATGAGGATTCAGACCTATCAAATGAAGGATCCAGGGTGCCACACTATGGCACCTGTGGGGAATAGGAATTCAGCCTTTCCTTTATGAACCCATCCCTTTTCCTTCAAATATTTGCACTATTTGGATGACTATAAATCAATTAAAAACAGATCATCTGTCTGGGGCATGGGATAGAGGGAAGAGAAGAGGCTTCGATAGGGTGTTTCTCACTTGATTTTGCCCCTGCCCTGTATAGCCAGATGTCATATGGTCCTGGGGATCTCCTGTGTACCAAAACCACTGCACAAGGCCACCAGCAAAGGGGATATATTAATATAGCACACTAAAGAGTTTGCAAACTGATTCTGGTAACCAGGAAGAATTTCTAGAGCTAGTCAGAACCCCAAACTATTCTGTTCGTACACAAATGAAGGAACTTCAGCCTGGGGGTGGGACATGCCTTGGTAAAGATCTTATGCTTAGTAACAGAGTGAAACTGGAAGACAGTTACCATGGCTCTGATGTTGATGCTTTTTCTGCTGTACTACAGCCTAGTCCAGATAATTATAGTTGTTTACTGAGCACCTACTATGTTCCAAAGATATTGTGTATGCTATCTCCAACCATCCCAACACCTCCCTTCCTAAATAGGCATTTAGCATCCTTTTTGCAGATGTGGAAATTGAGGTTCAGAGAGGTTAATTTTCTCCAGGTCCTATGGCGAGTATGGAATGAGCAGGGAGTCACTATACTCCTCTCCAGGGTGGTAATTTTAGTGACAATAACTTAAATTGCAAAAGTCGTTAATTGTTTGGACTGAAGGAGATGACCAGACTATCACTGCTTTAATTTCTCCTTATTCATCAACTACTTGACTAAGGCTGTGTCTATCTTATTGGTGAGATAAACCTTTTATATAAGCCAATTCTACTTGGGCTGTGTCTGTAGTGGCTAATGTTAATAATGACCATGGGGGAGTATTTTATTTCTCCTTTAAAATGGTATCTCACTATGGCAACTATATTCCTAGAAAGTCTTCAACAAATATTGCTATAAAAGATTGCATAAACAAAAACAGTGTTTTCCATATACTACTTCATTTTTTATGGAAATAATCTCTCTAAAATATACATACATATGTGTTTTATTTATGCATGCATGCATGCCAGGGAATTGTAGGCTGTGTGATGAAAAAAATCTAATTCCACGGGAATACGTAAAACTAGCCCACTTGCTCCTAAGAATATTGTAGATTTTTACAGCTATGTCTTATCATTAAAAAAAAAATATTCACAATGGCTTAGTGCCCAATGTACAGTTCTGCTCAAAGACTAGTTGGTAGATTATTAGGGGTTATTGACAACATTGGTCAAAATATGGTAAGAATAGATTTTCACTGATACTAACATTAGCACTGATATTAAAGTCAGGACTTGGTTTATCACACACTACCTCATTCTATTACTCACAGTGACTTCTGCAAATATTTTTTGATTTTTAAGGCACCACTGCATCTGTGTCCATCCACTGAATAAGATCTCACAGGCTTTATGAGTTTTGGTTTGAATAATGACTTTTAGGTCCACTAATACCATCATATACCAAGGGGTTCAGAGCTGCCTGATTTTTGTTCCCCCAACTTCCTCCTGTGCCACTCAAAATAGCTTTGCATTTTTATCCTTTCTGGCCTCCTGTGTACTTATCTCTGAGGAAGAATGTTCTTACTTCCCTTCCCTCTGTATTTTTCAGCCTATCTCCCTCCACCAAGATGTTAACCCTTCCATGAAATTGTTTCCTCCTTGCGTCTGCAGTCTCTCACTCAATTTGTGGTGACATGTAGCAGAGTTAGTCCAGCTCTGTTGCTTTCGTGATCTTTTGTGATCTCTTGATAAATTTAACTAATAGTTGCCTTGCCTGTTTCAAATTATCATTTTGAGAATATGATATAATTTACAATTGATAAGGTATGAAATACTCAAAGAATAATCATTATTACCCCCCCCCCTTTGAGACAGAGTCTTTCTCTGTCACCTGGGTAGAGTGTAGTGGCATCATCATAGCTCACAGCAATCTCAAACTCCTGGGCTCAAGCGATCCTCCTGCCTCAGCCTCCCAAGTAGCTGAGAGTACAGGCATGCGCCACCATGCCTGGCTCATTTTTTAAAATTTTTAGTAGAGATGGGGTCTTGCTGTTGCTCAGGGGGGTCTCCAACTCCTGAGCTCAAGTGATCCTCCTCCCCTGGCCTCCCAGAGTGCTAGGATTATAGACATATACCAATCCTATTGGACACTTTTTAATGACTAAAATGTGCTGCAGCGTCCCCTAATCCCAAAGCCCTCTCCTTTAACCTAGCAATGTCCCCAGCTACTGCCAGGTTCTGCTCCTCTCCCCTCCACCCAGCTTCTTCTTCAAAGCTTTGCATTCCACTCTCTCCCCCACTTCCTCACCACCTGCTCACCCCTCAATGCTTTGCAACTAGTTTCTGCCAGTGATAGGACTGAAACTGCTCTCTTCGGGGACTGTGCTGTAAAAGCAAAAGCCTTTTCTCAGGTGTCACGCCGCAGATTACTTTCTGTTTCCCGTCACCCACAGTGCACTCCAGCTCCTTTACCTCTCAGTCCATCCTGGCCGTTGGTTCAATTTTTGGCCATGCCATGCCATGCCATTTCTACCTCTGCAGTGTATCTTGCACGTGGGCCTTTTCCCTATATCCAGTGTTACCCCCGAATTTGGCTCTCTTTTCCTTTCCTGGCTTAGCACAAAAATCTTGTTTCCCTGGGTTTGATCTTTCTCTTTTCTAATCCATTCTCCACAAGGCTGCTCGATCTCCACAAGGCTCCCTAAATCACTGCTTAAGTCAAGCTCAAGTCCTGAGCTGGCCTCTTTGCTGGCCTGTCCTTGTCTACCGGAGAAACCTTCTGGCCCCTCCAGTCTGTTACAGTCCAACCTCACACAACCTCCAACACCTCCTACTGCACAACCTCCAAAGCTCCCATGCCACCACTCCCCGCCAGAGCCACCGGTCTGGACATGTCTTCTACCTTCTACCTCAAAACCTCTGTTGAGAGGTTTCTCAACATCGACAAGTTCCTCCTCCTCCCTCCCTCTTCACTTTCTGTCAGACACCCCATTACATACTCCCATCACCTGAGGCCGTTCCTGCTCTGCTGCCTGATTGCCAAGACTCCTTCTTCAACGCCCCTGGCTCTTTGCTTTGTTAATCACCAACTACTTTCTTCCTAGTGTTACATTGTAACTCCCCTAATGGAGTGTGAATTCCTTAATGGGATCGTATGTCCTGCTAGAATTACATGAGGAACCCGTTTTCTACATACAACGAGCTCAATAAATGTTAAACTGAATATCCAACTACTTCCACAGGCAGTTTTACACATGCTTAGGGTGCTGGATTAAAATTTTCATCTCACCTGATGTTCAGTGAGATCAAGCCACTTTATGGGAAACAGGGAAGGGGAATCACTTATATACTGGTTTCTGGATGCAACAGTGGCATGATTAATATTAATCCTTGTTGCCCTTCATTAGTGCTTCCCCATCTCCAGGGCCCACTCTCACTTTTGGCTTCCTATATGATGGATTTGAAGCAGGATTTTGTGCTTGGTTTGGCATCCACCAATCCCCTCTGGAAAATGTTAGCTGGTAAGGCTTAATATCATCTAGATGTATTTGCATTTAATGGGATATCTTTGGATACAAAAGCATTTGAAGAAAGAGGTATGAAGTTATTTTCATTATGACCATGACTGATTATTTTCTCCTTTGGTACTAGGCAGTCCTTAGGGCTTCAGAAGTGTAGCTCATTTATTCTTCATCATGCATTGGCTATTACTATTGGCCCCATTTTATAGATGAGGAAGCTGAGGCATGTAGAGGTTTAGTGACTTGTAAGTGGTAGTGAAACTGTCGAGCCATAAGGTATAAATAGCAATCTAAGCCTGATTTTCATAAAAGTATAGATATAGTCAGAAGTTAACCAGCCACTGTTCCCTAACTTCCTTACTGTTATACCTGATTACTGCTTAATGGCACTATGTGACAGGTATAAGATTCGTGGCTTCCCCCACTACTTCTACAGATAAGTAAAGCCCAGAGACTTGTGCTTCCATAGGTAATGCCCCTTTTGTAGAGTCTAAGACTGGCCTTTGAAGTAGTTTTCAGACTGTATTCCTGGGGGACCCACTGATGTCAACCGGACCATGGATAGATGTGGCAATGGATCCAACAGCCTCGAGACCCCCTAACCTGGAAATCTCCCAAGTGAGAAGATAATCTCTGTGAGTTCATCCCCTACCAATAAACAGACCCAACTGCCTAGCTCTTTGCCTGCTAAACTGTCTTTAAAAACCCTTTCTCCTAAAATCTCCGGGAGGTGGATTTGAGAAATTACTCCCATCTGCTCACCTGGCACCTTGTGAAACAAAACACCTGCTGTCTCAGTATACTGGCCTTCACTGGGCAGCGGGCAAGGGACCCCGCTGGATGTAGCAGTAGAGCTCCAGTTTGAACCCAACAGGTTAGAAACCGAGATTTAATCTACTGCTGCAATCTACTCTTTTTGTGGAATGACTCAGTTGATAACACAGAGGGATTCTCGAGAGAAAGAGTGGTTAAGAGAGTGGGCAGCAACCCCTGATATCACCCCTCCTCAAATCATAATACCATTAGAAAATCTGACAGGGAAGCCCTAGAATTAAAACCAAGAATCTCCAGTCTCCAAAACCATTCTATGCCTTATCCATCACCTCCTTTTAGTCATTTAAAGAAAGCAAGTTGATTCCTTACCTGAGTCTCCAAGGCCTCCAGACTCAAGGGCTGATCTGGACGCTGGCTGCCGAGTTCAGTTTGATGCTGCTGGTTCTCAAGCTCACAGGAAGAGTGATTGTGATGGGCCTAGCCTGGGGCTGAAATCGCTGATAGATACCACGTGACGGGAAACCAGTAGCTTCTGCTACCTTGAGCTTCGCTCCAATTACTTTGGTTTAATATACACTTACCAGAGATGAAGGGGACACAAGAAAAGTTTCTGCCTTACCAGGAGGTTTCACTTCTTGAAAACGATCCCCGGGGACTGCCTGACGTGCTTCATGCTACCTTAATTAGGAGAACCTCTGCAGCCCCCACCCTGTCAGCAGGTGTAGATGGTGGGTCCCTGAGGACAAGAAGGACTCTAGAAAATCTCCAAAGATGGGCTGTTAGGGCTGACTTTTACCTTCTTGCTTCATTTTTAGGAGTGAGTAGGTGGGAAGGAGGCATCCATGCAGAGACTCAAGAGTCAGTGAGCCCATACGCTCAATGTTGTACTAGTGTGCCCACAAATATTGTCCCCATTTGCTCACTCTTAGGCTGCTAGTGGACCATGTATATATTGTGTCAGAATTAGCAGAAATGGCCTAAAATATACTTTGGTGTGATAGAGCATGTACCCAGAAGCTCGAGGCAAGAGTTAGCCTCTATATTTGGAGATACAAATTGAAATAGCACTTTCACCCACAAACTCACTTATGACCTTGTTCTTCCATCTGTCTGGTTTCCTGGTGTCCCCTCTCTTTTCAGTCTGAGCTGGAGCTGTATGGTCATCAAGCCCAGTGCTGGATCAAGCAGGAAAATGGAGGAAGTTGGAGGCACCAGGAAAGTCTAAACATTCGCAAGGTGAATAAAAGTCAGTTTTGCTCAAAGATACCGTCATCACTCTCCCCTACCATATACAAACTTTATGTTCGTATGTTGGACTTTTAATTACTTTTTAATTTCCTTGTCCATTGTTTTATTTTATTAGAGACATAGATCTATAGTTAGTAATTTGTTCATTTAATCTACAGGGATGCAACATGGCAGCTCTTTTACCTAATCTGAGGGTCATTCATATTTCTCTTTCTTCTCTTCTATTTCTCCCTCTCCCTCTCTGTTTTGTAGACAATTGGAACCACATGCTTAGAACCAATAGACTGAAGTAGTCCTGGGGAGGTTGATTTGGGTGCAAAATGAAAAAAATGTCATTTTCTCACCATTGGAGCAGTTAGTTATGGGAACTGCTCCAAAGGTATTTGAATAGAGACTTTGCTGTCATCAAAAATACACAAGTAAAGTCTATGCAGTCACCACTCAGAAATGCTATCAAAGATAAGAAGAGTGGAAAGAGATGATCCACCATCCTTTTAAGATTCTAGTTGTGGGTCTATGCATATCTGGGGAAATGCTTAAATGGTTGGTGACAGGGATGATAATTACATAGGGTATGGGTTGTGGGAGATTGTGAGGCCTGAGATTTGAGTGCAGGATTGTGGGGTGGTTAGAGGCATGTGCCTTTATTTTAGTGGATGTGGGAGCAGAGTCAAGACTTGGCAAACGTGCAGCATCAGAGTGGCTTGAGTTGGGGTGGCACAACCTGATCTTTTATATCATTTTCTCTGTTTAAGTACTGTTTTCCCCCAGTCAGTCTTGGGTCGTTTGCTACTCTGGTCTTTGTGGCCATTGAGATAACTTATCAGGCATCCTCAAACTATGGCCCTAGGGCCACATATGGACCACCAAGGACATTTATCTAGCCCGCCAGGTGTTTTTGCCACCGATGCCTGTCCTGCTTAGCAGCTGACTGGTCCTGGGCCCGCAGTGCGCATGTGTGGAATGTGCGCTGCACTCTCCAACAGCCCTCCAACCGTCTGAGGGACAGTGAACCGGCCCCCTGTTTAAAAAGTTTGAGGACCCCTGAGTCTTAGATGGTTCTATGTGTGATTCTTCCCAAATAAACTTGAATTTGAATTTGTATGAATGAATAAATGTTTACCTTGTCTTTGCTGATTTGAACCGATTGACCTTTCAGTGCTTGAGTGTGTTGAAATTCATGGTACAATTTGGATTTGTCAACAGTAGCTTCTTTGATGTATCTCCACCCCAAACTCCAGTTTTGAGTATATTTTATTAGGTCAGTAACACATTTAAAATACTTCTCTTTGGGCTGGCCTTCGAGCGACAGCGATGCAAGATGGCAGCCACCACGGGCTCAGAGAATTTATGAAAACCGAATATACAGTCTTAAAATAGAATGTGGACCTAAATACCCAGAAGCACTCTCACTTTGTAAGATTTGTGGCAAAAATTAATATGAATGGAGTTAATAGTTCTAATGAAGTGGTGGATCCAAGAGCCATATCAGTGCTAGCAAAATGGCAGAATTCATATAGCATCAAAGTTATCCTGCAAGAACTTCGGTGCCTAATGATGTCTAAAGAAAATATGAAACTCCCTCAGCCACCTGAAAGGGACAGTGTTACAGCAATTAATCAAAAAGAAAAACCACAGGCCCTTACCCTTACCCGCATTTCAATTCAAGCAGTCTTCATTTTCCACAGTAGTAGATTTTCTAGATACGTCTTGTAGACCTCAAAGTACTGGAAAGGAAGCTCCCATTCAAAGGCAATTTGTCTTAAGATACTGCAAATGATACTAATTTTGTGTCCATTTGAAATATATAAGTTGTGCTATAACAAATCATCCTGTCAAGTGTAACCACTGTCCACGTAGTTGAACTTCTGGGATCAAGAAAGTATATTTAAATTGGTTCCCATCATCGCTGGTGGGGCACATCTAAAACTCAACGGTGAAAGGACACATCGCACAATCATCTTGCTGCTGATTACGTGGCCTGGGGTCTCTGCCTTCTCTCCTTCCCCTTCCCTTGCCTCCATCCTTGCCTGCAACAGCCCTCCAGTTTGGGGGCTTGTTAGAGTGGATGAGATGTGAAGGTTTCAGATCGCAGCCTATGGGACTACTGCTGGGAATGTAGGGTGCCTTGCCTGCACCCCTGGTTTCTTTCTTTAAGTCTTAAGCGATGCCCCCTTCCAAGCCATCATCTCCTCCCCACTCTCCTCCACTCCTGCCCTTGGCCAAAGCGTAGATTGTAATCCCTCTGCTCCCCTCTGAGATTGGCCTTTAGTGAGGAATTCAGGGCTCTCCCATATGTTCTCTCCTCACCTTTATCGAGGGGTGCTGCTTCTCCTCCCTCCTTCTCAAGTCCCTCTTTGCTCTGTCACCACCCAACACTTTCCATGACACTCCTTGCCATCAGGTAAGGTTGGACAGAGTCTCTGACCTCTGTCGTTTAGTTTTGGAACCACATTTATTCACTCAACCAGCCTGGGAAATGAATTTGGGGTCCTCAGCCCTGCTACCCTTTGCTGTTATCATCAGCTGATGTGTTTTTAGCTCAGGTTTTGATAAGGTGAAAAGAACAGTCCACCAGGGTTACTCAGACCTGCTAGCTCTCAGAGTCTTTGGTGGTTAAACTTGGAGAAAGCCCACATGAAGACACTCCTAAGCACACACGGTCCCTCTGAATTGTTTTATTTTCCTGTAATTGCTTTTTGCTTTAACATTGAAGAGTTTTGAAACATGGCTCTGATTTGGTCCATCCTTGCAGATCCATTGGGTCTAGTTTGGAATCTGACAACTGGAACAAAGAAAACCTTGAATTCAATGCATACTTTGTTTTGGTGCTGCTGCTTCTCACGACCCTCAGCAGGGATCCAGAAAGAACTGGGTGTGCACAGCAGATCCTGAAATTGGCGGGCTGACTTCCTGGCAGATTGCTGCGTTTTTCCACTTTTTGTTCAGGACCACTGAAACGCTGAAACGTGGATGCGTACCAAAATAAAAGCAATTCATTGTGTAAAAAAAATATATTTCTCATTGAATTAATAACCCTAATATCATTATCTAGTGGCCTTTTTGCTTCGAAAAGACAATCTCTTTCTCTTTTTTTTACAGGTGATCTTTTTAATTTAGAAGAAATCCCTAGACATAAATACTTTTAAGAAAATTCCCATCTTGTGGTTTAATAGATTATCTAAAGCATGCAGTAAAGTTTTTTTTTGTTTGTTTGTTTTTTTCCCTGCAGTAAAAGTTTTAATTGTGGCAAATGCTTTATATATATATTTTTTATTTCAGCTTATTATGGGGGTACAAATGTTTAGGTTACATATGTTGCCTTGCTCCCCCCTACTCCCCTGGAGTCAGAGTTTCAAGCATGTCCATCCCCCAGATGGTGTGCATCGCACTCATTATGTATGTGTATATCCATCCCCTCCTGCCCGCACTCACCTGCCCGACGCATGATAAATGTTATTCCTATATGTGCACTAAGGTGTTGATCAGTGAAACCAATTTGCTGGCGAGTACATGTAATGCTTATTTTTCCATTCGTGGGATACTTCACTTAGTAGAATGAGTTCCAGCTCTATCCAGGATAATACAAGATGTGCTTTATCACCATTGCTTCCTGTAGCTGAATAGTACTCCATGGTATACATATACCACATTTTATTAATCCACTCAGGTATTGATGGATTGTTTCCACATCTTTGCAATTGTGGATCGTGCTGCTATAAACATTAGAGTGCAGTTGTCTCTAAAGACAGTCTCTTAAAGTCTACATAAAGTATGCCAACTGTTATGTAGTTAGTATTTGCCTGATACAAATTTTTCTTTTATTCCCCCCACCTCCTAGCATTTCATTTTTTTAAAATCCTTAAAACATTTTGCCTCTTTTATGAAAACTCAATTCTACATCATAATTATTTGTGTCCTTGCCTTGCTTGGCCGTTTTTTCCATGTTCCTTGAAAGCAGAGTTGCTTTTTCTAATAGCTATGTCCTCTGTAGTTCTATGAGAAATAATAGTTCTGCTTTGGCTCTTTTTCCCATCTAGGTGATTGTCACCAGGTATGCAGTATTAGGAAGTCGTATTATGCCATGTTCCTAACTGCTCAGCAAGGCCCTGGCACCCAGAATTATCTGCTGTTGGAGGGGTCTGGTTTAAGAGGATTGGTAAGGGAGACACAGAGTTCCTCAGAGGTGAGGCTAAAGATCTAATTGCAAATAGAATTTGGTTATAGGTCAGAAGATCCCAATGTCATACTTATAAATAATTCAAATTTGAGTACCCAAGAGCTTCATGGTTTATGAGGTCTTCTTTCTGTTCTAAAGGACTACTTTCCATTTTTAACAGCTAGGAAAGTAATGTTAGTTAAAACCCTACTTATATGCCAAGCACTACCCATGTAAAAATCTTATAATGCATATAGTATTGATTCTGTTTTATAATTGTGGAAAGTAGTAGTTCAAGAAATAGGGGAAACTGGCCCCCAATCACACAGATAGTAAATGATAAGTGATGTTTAGAAAGCAAGAAAATCTGAGGTATAAATTTTTAGAAACTACCATTTACTAAGTGATTTTTGAGTTCTAGGCACTGACAAAATCACTTCAAGTATTTCATTTAAGGTTCATGGTAAAACCATGAGGTAGGCATTATTCTAGCATTTTAGCCTAAGGATTTAAAGCCCACAAAGATTAAATAACTTGCTCATGTCACACAGCATTAAATAGCAAAATGACATTTAAACCTGGGTCTGACGTAAAACCCCTGACCGTGATGAATCTCAAACCTCACGCATCCGAATGTCACTCAGGTGCCAAATGTTTTTCATTAGAACCTCATCTTACTGAAAAGAAATGAACAGTTTTTTCCCTGTCATCCACTGTCCCTCACCTGCAAGGTGACATGCACCTATAGACATAAGCTCCTTCTCTTAATAGTTCATAGCAGAAATGAAAGCCTGTATGTATATTTCTTTGAGTATGCCAAGTTTTTTTTTTTTTTTTTTTTATATGCCAGCAGCATTATAGGATAATGGGATTTGGAGTTAGAGATCTTGTTTCAAAGGCTGGTTCTAAATCATACTCCTTTGTGGTCTCAGAAAAGTTAGGCACATTGAGCCTCAGTTTTCATGACTGTGACAAAAGGCACACCTACCTCAGAGGGGCTGTCAGGACACACGTGATGGCACAGGTGTTTGGCTGGTGGAAAGCAATATGGTATCGGGCAGTGGTTCTCACAGTGTGATCTAGGAATTTCCTGGGGTCCCTTAGACCCTTTAAGGCAGTCTATGGATTCAAAACTATTTTCATAATCATGCCAAGACCATATTTCCCCTTTACACAAGTTTTCAGTGCTGAACTCCACGGGCTACAGAACATGAGATATCATAATAGATTGAATGCAAAAGCTGTTAAGAGAATCCAGTTGTTTTCTACAAAGCTAGAGGAAAACAGTGGCTTCCAGACTTTGCGCTGCCTTGGAATCACCTAGAAATCTTTAAAAACTACTGATGCCTGGGTCTCACCACATTCTGACTTAGCTGGTTTGTGGTACTATATGGTGCATTGGGGTTCATGAAAGTTCCTTGGATGATTTGAATGTGCAGTAAAGTTTGGGAACCACTGCATTAAAGAGATTTGCAAAAATGTAAACCAGTGCCATTACGCTGGTTATTTTATTTTGGAAAATATAGTTATTTTAGTAAAAATATTATTTGTATTAACTTATAGTAAGTCTTTGATAATTTTTCAAGGTATAAAGAGACTCTGAGACCAAAAAGCTTAAGAGATACTGGTAAAGGGATTAAGACCTTGGGCTCTGGAGCCAGACTGCCTGTTGATATTATGGCTTTGACATTGCAAGCTTTGTGACCTTGAGCTTACCCTCTCTGTGCTCAGCTTGTGTATAAGATGAGCATAATAACAAAATCCACCTCTTGGGACTTTTGTGAAATGAAATGAATGACATACGTATAACACTTAGCATGGTACCTGAGGCATCGTCGTGGCTCCACCAATATTTGCCCTCAGTGTTTTTACTTTTGTTACTATTCTAGCTGATCAGCTTTTAACATTGATGATCTTGCAGCATTAATGCAAAATTTGCAGGCCAAATCATTCTTTTAACCAGCTCCTCTTTCTGTACAACAGCAGAATGGGAGCCACCAGGTGGAGTCTCTTAGAGAAATCGGCAAGAGATGCCATGAACCAGAGAAGTGAGATGAAAAGACTGGGTCACTCCAGACCCTGGGTTTCGGTTCATATCTTCGTTTGTACAAAGGCAAGACAACATTTGCTGTCCTTAAGTTGAAAGAATGTATGGCTAACACAGGTGACGACCCAAGGTGACTATTTGATTTGGGGAGAGGGGAAGATGGCATTGCCAAGAGGCAGTATGTGTCTTATCAGTCAAAATATTCCCAGGACCTCCTCTCATGGGTCACTCCCCTTTGTTTTAAACAGTTGCCAGCCTTAAGATTCTGTGCTCCTTTTGGCTTTTCCTAATAAGCAGAGTTCATCTCTAAATAATATCATAATGCATCTTTATTCTCATAGTGCTATTCAACACCAACCACTATCTTCTGAGTGGCACCACAAAATTGAGAAAGGCAATGAAATGAGTAATTCAAAAGTGCTGAAGATCATCAACATAATCATAATTCCCTGTAATAGAATAAGAAAGAGAGTGAAATTATGATATTAGCACAGTAATAGTTTTTCTGATTACAATGGGGTAGTAATGCCCAGGTAATAAAAGCTACCCCACTTCTTTCAAGTGTACCTGATGCTTCGGAATCAAATTAGTGGAGGACCATGAGAGTATACAGCTATTTTAGCATAGCATAGCATATTAGTTTCTTAGAGAAAGTCATGCAAAATAATATATTTTCTAAATTATGTATAAGAAATACTCAATTTTATAAATATATACAATACAAATAGATGCGATTTAAAAAGTGGTCTGATGAAAGAGAAAGAAAGAAAAGGTGGTGAAGAAACAGGAAAAAGAAGCAAATACAGAAAAGGAAAGAAAAAAGAAGGAAAGAAGAAAACTTATAGGCCCATAAAAAGGGGAACAGATAGAAAAAGAGACATAAGAAGAGGTAAAAAGCAGCAGAGGATAGGAGTACCACTTTGTGTTCTTTTTATCACTGTAAAAAAGACCTTAAAATGCTTTGTATTTTGGCAACTAAGAGCACAAATAGGCATACACGCCTTGTCAGTAGCCCAGAGACTGGATATTAGTGCTGTGATTTGTGTATTTTATTAGCATTTTCAAGGAACAAATTGTTAACTATTATGTGCATTTTTTTTTTTTTACCAATTTCTTGTCTTATTTTTATGTATTATTTCCTTCATTCTATTTTCTTTGGGTTAATTTTCTCTTCTTTTTCCAACTTCCTGAGATTAACATTTGGACTATTATTTTTCAAACTTTTATATTTTATATTATATATAAGCCATGGATTGCCTTAAAAGTATTACTTTACCTTCTGTATACATGTTTTTGATCTTTCATTTCAAAACATCATCATATTTCCACCATTATTTCTTTTCTGACCCCCCAATTACTTTTAGGTATACTTCCTAATATACAACCACATAAGGGTTTTTGAAATTGTTTTTATCATTGCTTAAGGTTTTATTTCATAAAACATATACTGTATGACTTCAACCTTTGTTATAAT